AGTGATGGGCACAGTAACCATCCCTTGCCATTTCACACACAGAAATGGTATTACAAGATCATAAAGTGGCAATCCTTCTGCTCACGTTCCTTCCGATTTAGAAGAAAATTAAACAAAATACTGGTTTGCTGCTGCTATTGTAGAAAGAGTTGCATGAGTTGGTTTATGTTGTTTTGTTGTACTTTTTTTTTTAGTTACAATACAAAGCAATCAACTACAAACCCCACATGCCGTTGGCACAGCTGCGGTGTCAGCCACAGTGTCCAGCAGGACAGTGACGCAACAAGACAGGAGCGCAGAGCTGGCAAGGATATTCCGAGCATAGCCCAAGGCTTTCCCCGTTGCCCTGTGGATCTTCTGACCACATCCTAAGACTTTCCCTGTTGCTCTGTAGTGCTGAGTTATTTTCCCAAAGCTTCCCACTTCCCCCTTTCCTATTCCTAGTCATTTTCTAGCAGGATGGAGAAGAGACCCCCCAGCAAGCCCAGGGTGGCCTGAGTGGAGGAGAGTGCTGCCCAGGAAAGCAGCTCTCCAGAAGAACCCCATGAGGTGGCCTGGATGGAGGATGGGGGTCCCCAGGAAAGCAGATCTCCAGCAGAACTCTACCAGGTGATCCTGGTGAAACCACCACAGATGCAGACAGGTGTGAAACACTCCTCCCTCAAGAACTGACAAGGAGCTGCAGAACATCTTGCAGGTCTGGCCTGTGCAAAGAGTGGGAGTCCCAGGGTGTTCCTCACTCTGTGGGGGTGAGCCAAAGCTTGGCCCAGGGCCTTTGTTCTGGGCCCACAAGGGACCCCAGAGGCAAGGAGCCCCGCTACAGGCTTTGCTCAAGGTCAGAGAAAGCCTTGAGGGACAGTGCAAGTCCCACCCAGGAGCAGAGCTGCACTGCTGCTGCTGGAGTGAGTATCTGCTCCTGGGGCTCACCAGCAGCTTCTCTTTGCTCAAGTGCTGCTGGACTTTACAAGGTATGAGAGAACTGAGGTGCAGGTTGCAGCCACCGAGAGGATTTGCACACTGAGCAAATGGATGGATAGCTATTCCGAATGGCAGGTAAGGCCTAGGAACCCTCTAGCCATGCTGTGCCCCTCTCCCTGTCACTCTCCCTAGCAGGGCTGCTGCCCAGATGACTGCTCCAGGAGGCAGGGCCACAGGGCCCTGCAAAGCTTGGACTCACCAGGGATACAGCCCTGAGCACACTCTTGGGTATGAGGCTTTGGCACCAGCTGCCCCCCATCAGCCCTGCTGCTCTTCTTCCTCCCTCACGTAGGACCACCTTAAAAAAGACGACTCCACTGTGATGACATCAAGATCTCATTCCTCAGACAGCTGCTGGGACATATTCTCCTTTTGCAATCCTCAGAAATGAGACCTATAGCAAAGAAGGCTATTCATCACCTCAGTGAATTCATCCGTAAGCAAAAAATTAAGGGACATTGTGGTGGCCTTCATCCTTCTGCACACAGACATCACCTCACAGCTCTGCTTCTCTGCTTGACCACCTTTGCCCCTCTGGCTGCTTCCTGTACCATCCCAGCTCTCTTTCACTGTAGAAGCCAAGTGCTCTCCTCATGTCTTGGATCTGTTCTCTGCTGCTCTTCTTCCCTGCTCCTTTCACCATCTTCAATCCTGGCAGTTTGTGGACCCCAATCTAACACCCGCCACAATCTCCTGTCCTGCCATCTCACAAGCAGATCTCAGGCTGTTTTGGAAAGCCCGATGGCAAAGCTACTCTGTCTTACTGACTTCCATGTCTGTCCCACTCTATAGGCAGGACAAGGCTAAGGGGTAAACGCTGTGCACACCATGCAGAAGGTGAAATCAGCTCCTTGCTGACGACTTCTAAAAAGTATCATACCAAGATAATAAGCTCCCCCCTTGCTGAGACTCTTGTCCATGCCTTCAGCAGAGCACTTATGTGAGCAAAGGGACCCAGATTAAGTAGGACTGACATGGCCTCACTGTCCCTGATGAGAGGGTTCCTGCTGTCCCCAAGCAGGGACTATCTGAGGGCAGCACTCTGGTGCCCCAAGCAGCAGCTCCAGCTCTCCTGCCCACCAGTGAGCCCTGGTCCTCTGCAGGGCCAGCACCCCATGACCATGAGCCCAGCCCTCCTCCCTCAGCCTGAGGACCCTCTGCTCTCATCCTCCCCCACACAGTGACTGTGGGCACTGCTGATGGCACTGCTGGGCACCTCTGGCCCAGGCTGCTCTCAATGCCCAGCAAAGCAGCACCATTAGATAGCTTGTATGATATCTTTGCTCTCTTTCTTCCTGCCACAGCCCTTTGAAAGGTACCTCACATGCTCTGAGAGGACACACATCATCCTTGCAGCCATGGAGGAAATTAAAAAAACTGCACAGGCCACTGGAATACCACAAAACACTTTTTGTGGGTGGCCACATGTAACCCATGCCTCTTGCTAACAGATGTAAGTGGCCTGTGGCTGGATTGCCCTGCCCTTCAGCCCTTTAAGACCTTGTTCCTCCCTCCATCCCTCCCTTCCAAACCCAGGTGTCTCAGGCACCTGAAGGCACCTTAAGGCAGAAGAGAGGTATGGAAAGGGCAGCTGAGGCTGCGCTCCAGTGGCAGCACTATCCTCACTTGTGCCCCCTTCAGGTGCCAAAGATTATGAGCTTCATGCATGAAAGCCTGCAAAGCATCAAGGAAGGACCAAAGCAGCACTGCTTTGACTCTCTGCTTCTCCTGGTAGCCGAGTTTTTCCCCAGGAAGGTAGTCACAACACTGTCGAGCATCGCTCCACAAGGAGACAGGTACTGGCCCTGAAAACCCTGAGGGCTTGTTCGCTGTGGAGAGAGGGACCCTGAGACTCTTTGGCTCTCAGACCCAAGGAATGCTGCAGGACACCTTCAAGGAGCAGGGTTCTCCATCCCACCAGGCTTTCCAGCCCTGGTGGGTTGTCCGGGCCCGCAGCAGCCAAAGCTGGCTGAACCAGCCCAGAGCCACCATGCTGCTCCCAGCCCCATGGGGTACACCACCTCAGTCCCCCTCCTGCCTGCCCAGGCAGGGCCCCCAGGCACCCCAAGCCACGTGGGGCTGACCCAGGCCATGCTGTGGTCAAGGCAGCCCTGCTGACAGTGCTCTGCCTTGCAGTGGCCATGCAACCGTAGCACAGATCTTCTCTGAGCCCAAGATGACACGCAGGATATTATGAGCATTCTCTGTCTTGTTCTAGGTCAAGTGGTTGCCCAGTAGTTCCAGCTCTTCTTCTTCAGAAAGCAGCTCCATCTCTGACTTGGCTGTGAGTTACCAGAAAAGCACCTGATCCCCTGCCACGAGCCCTGCAGATTCTGCCAGTGTCTTACTACCGTGCTTGCTTCTATGGCCATTCCCCAGTGACAGTAGCACGCAGTTTCAGCTGGATGATTTGGATGATGATTTGGATGATGACTTCAACATCGATGAGGAGCTTCCAACACTCCCAGCCTCCCAGGTGCTCGAAGGCCTCCTCATGCTGTCATTGACACCTGACCTGGTGAGCAGGGTGGCATCAGGGACAGCCATGTTGGCATCCAGGGGGCTGGGGCTGGTGGTTTGGTGTGGGCTGGGAGTCAAGTGGTGGGGTGACTGCTCCAAACACCTTTGCTGCCATGTTGGGGCCTGGTGGCTGCTTGGGGAGCTTTCCAGGTATGAATCTCATCACAAAAAAGAAACTGTCTGTCATACAAGCAGGAAAAACGGAGCTCCTCATGCTAACATGATTGAGCTCCCATGGCTTGGCACTGAAGATCTCAAGGAAAACATCACGATGATCATTAAAAATGTGATACATCAAAACCTGAAGAATTAAAAGGCCAGCCCCACCAATGAGTATCTGGTGGAGAACCTCCCGCACTTCTTTGACATAGTAAGGCTGATGTGGGAGTGTGAGACCTGAGAAGGGCACTGGGCAATGACAGCTGCCCTGCAGCCCAGCCCTGTGAAGGGCACTCAGAGTAGGCTCTGCTCCCCTCGGCTCTTGTGGCTTCTGGGTCTTGCAGCCCAGTGCTGCTTCTCCCTGCTCTGGAATCTGACTGTGGGCATCTCCCTCAGCCAGGATCACAATCCCCCTTCACTGTGGGCAGGTGGCCACTGTTTCTGAAGCTCACCTTTCCTCCTTCCTGCCAGGAAAGCAGCGAGACCTGAGAGTTCTCAATCTGCCTCTCCAGAGACCACATGGGGTCAGCAGTGGTGAGGAATGAGAAGAGACTGAAGAACTGTATATGGAGTGCACTGGTCCCGCTGCTCTTTCGCACGAGCAGCCAGCCCTCCAGGGAGGCCAAGATACAGATTTCAAGGCTGAGCACTGTTACAGAGAGGGGTGGGCTGACCCTCCCTGGGGGGCCCAGGCAGCAGGGCAAGGGCTGCTGGCAGTGGGCAGCCCTTCCCCAGCACAACCTGTGGGAAAGGTCCCCACAGAACCAGCGTGAGCAGGGATGGAGAAGCCATTTCCAACACCTGCCCTATGGCTCCAGTAGGTCTTGTCAGCAGCCTGTGACCACCAAAGCCTGAACAGGCACATTCCCACAGGCTTTCCTGCTGTCCCTGATATGTGCCTTCTGGGCCACCTCGAGAGGCAGGGCTGCGAGCCTCAGTCACTGTCCTTTGGGGCTGTTCCCAAGAGACACCCAGATGCTTTGTCAAGGGCATGCCCCAGCTTCCTAAGGGCAGTACCACCCCAGGAACAAAGTCAAGAGGTCTCCTTTGCCAGCCATGGTGCCATCTCACAGCTTCTGTTGCTATGCAGGCCACCAAAGAAGGGCTCCTTGCTGCTGCAGAGCTCCTGAGGTGGAGGGAGCTCAAAGACGTGGTGCAGACACAGCAGACATGGAGGATTGGTGAGTGCTTGGTAAGGAAAAGCACCAGGGAGCAGGCTGGGTGAGGGTTGCCCCTCACCCAAAGCCCAGGGTGTGGGCTCTGCAGCTGGGCCTTACCTGTCCTGCTGCAGCCCAGAGCCTGGAGCTGCACTCCAGTTTATGTCCTCCAAGAACAGAGCCCCAGGGGCTCATCTCCAGGCCCCTCTCCCTTCCCTGCACCCAGTGGGAGAGAGGGCTCTCGGCAACAGTGAGTGCTGGCAGGAGGGACTGCTGCAGCCAACTGGGGGGCTCTGTGACATGCCCAAGTCCTTGTGCTCTCTCCAGCTAGGGAAGGACGGGAGTAGGGCTGAAGAGTGCCTGTGTCAGGGCCTGATGTACCTCGAGGATCCTGAGGCCACTCTGCAAGAGGTGGCCACTAGGTTCATTGGTGAGCCCCAGCCCCTGGGGTCCCTCTTTGGGCAACCTGGCCCCCGTCCCTGCTCCTGCACTGACAGGGAAGTGCAGCCCTGGGGCTGCCCGAGCCCCAGCTGCTGCATGCTGGGCCTTGGCCTCCCTCTGCCACCCCTGTCCACACAGGTGGGCTTGGTGGCCACCTTGCTCAGTTCTACCCCCATGAGCTACTGGTGCTTCCTGGGGTCATCCCTGCTGAGGGGGAGGAGAGCGGGGCCAGGGGCTGTGCTGCTGGGAGCACACTGGGGAACAGGGGCTGACAGAGTTTTGTGCCTAGGGGTGGCCACGCAGCACCTGAGGGACCAAAGCATGCCTATGTGGATGAGATCTGCAGCAGTGAGTGGGGAACATGGGCTGGAGGGGATGTCCGGGGGCCTCTGCAGACACAGGGGTTCATCTCAGCTCTGTTTCTTTTGGTGACAACCCTTCAGCCCTTGCAGGCAGACAGCAATGAAATCGTCTCTTGCCTGGTAACTCAGACCGTCTTGATCCTGAGGGCTTTAAATCTACAGCAAAAACCAAGATTCAATATATGTACACTGTTCTTCTGGCGTCTCTGAGCCAGCTGGAGGACGGCTGTGATTTAATAAATCTGAAACAATAGGCTCAAATCCATGGTGTCCTTCAGATGCGCAGCATCCTGAGCAGACTGCATCCTGTTTGGCCTGTACCACTGCCTGCAGGACAACTTCCCCTCAGCACACCACAGCCCCAGATTGGTTTGAGAAGTTGACCCCTTGCTGAGGCTTTTCCCAGGAGAAACCTCATTTGTCTCTCCTCAGGGCAGTCCCTCCACCACACAGCGAGGACAGGGCACAGAAAGAGTGGCCCCAGCTCTGCGTCCCTGTGAGTGTCCAGGCACTCAACAAGGCATTTGCTGTTGCTGCATCACCACCTCCCCTCACCGTAATGGTTTTGGAAGGGTTTCCAAGCAGCTTACTGTGGTATTATGGGGACCAGAGGGAAACCTCAGGGGCCCTAGAGAAACTGGAGGACAAACAGGGAGTCTTGGTCACCACCACCACATCAGAGGATGGGCCTCTGCCACCATGTTGCTGCTGACAGGGGCAGCTGTCCCAACCCACCGGTCAAGGGCATGATGTTCATTATAAATCCCTGTCAGGCTGAGCAAAGACACTGGACACGTGTTTGGGAACTTATTGTACAGTCCCCATAACTCTGGCAACCAGTCCACTGTTTAGACTGAAAAGGTGTTGGCCAACAAGCCCTTAAATTCTTACAGCACACTTCCACAAGAGTGATGGCTAACAAGCCCTTAATTTCATACAGTACACAGCAATAAGTTCGCAATTCCCAAAACAAACTCTTCAAAAGTGCTGGCACACAGGCTACTACATCACTACTCAAAGATGCTGGCTGACAAACCACAACACACTAGTATTCAGTCGTTCCCCCCAGAGAGGGAAAGCTTTTTACCACCTCAGTTGTAATATCTGGAACATGCAGAGCTTGGGTGCATATTAATGGGAAGTACTAGACCTGAATTGCAATTATTTTTTAAATCAGACTTGAAGATCACTTACAGAAAGTGTAATAGTTCAGTAAACTACTGTGAGATTAAAAAAAAATAAAAAAATCTCAGAGACTGGAAGATTTCTGTAACTGAATAAGCTTAGGAAAACAAGAAACGTTGCCCCTCATCCATGCCTTTATTGTTTTAACAGTGTGCCTAATAATAAAGTTTTGGACCTTGGTGTTTTGGGGTTTGTTTGTTTGGGTTTTTTTCTTTTTTTCTTAATAAGGTAAGCTTGAAAATATGTAAAAACACGTTAACATAATTTTCTTCATGAATTATTTTCGTGCTTGCCTATCTAATTTTTGACCATTTTCTAAAAATAATGTCCTTAGCATTGCTTAAATTGTAGTTGAAGGAAGGAATTGAGTTACAATTTTCCCCAGTGTTTAGGAACTGTAAATTTGGTCAGGAATGTGATTAACCAAGATCAGCCGGCAGCAAGAGCAGACATTCCTCTCCACAGGAGAAGGTTACGCGGAGTGTTACAGCTGGTTGGTACAGCTGGAGGTGTCCCCAGCTCAGGCAGAAAGCTATCTCCCCAGTTTTTAGGATGAAAGCGACGTCTGGCCCAGCGCACTAAGGCAGAGGTCATGCAGGGAACGTCAACCCGGCTGATCCAGCGGCACAGGCAGGGCAGCACCAGGTCTCCCCGCCGATCCCCGGCGGCGGGGAGACGGGGCTGTCCAGTCCCACGGTACGGACACCCCCGGCCCCAGCGCTGCCCGCCCCGGCCGCGCCACCCCCGCGAGGGGCTCCGCGGGGCACCCCTGGAGCCATCGGGACTCACCTTATCCCGCACGGCGACCGCCAGCACAGACTCGGGACGAAGGTCAGGGCCGGGAACGCCATAACCAGAGGGAAGGGAAGAAGAGGAGGAGGAGGAGGAGGAAACGGCAAACCCCGCCCTGCCGGAGCCGCCGCGCCATCTGCTGGGGCAGTGGTAGCCGCCCGCTCCTTCCTCGGGGATCACCGCCTCCACCACCACTGGGAGGGCGGGCTGCGGGCGGGGCTGCGACGGGAGCCGCCGAGGGAAGTGGCGAGACCGGGGCGCGGTGGGCGGCGAAGTCGCGGTCCGTCGGTACGAGCGGCTGGGCGCTGAGGTGTGTGGCAGCGCTCCGAAGCCATGCCCGAAATCGCAGAATCACAGAATCGCTGAAGTCGGAAAAGATCTCTGAGATCATCGAGTCCAACGTGTGACCGAACACCACCCTGTCAACTACACCATGGCAGTTAAGTGCCACGTCCAGTCGTTTCTTGAACACCTCCAGGGACGGTGACTCCACCACCTCCCTAGGCAGCCTCTTCCAATGTTTAACAGCCCTTTCCGTGAGGAGATTCCTCCTGATGTCCAAACTGGACCTCCCCTGGCGCACCTTCCGGTTATGTCCTCTCATCCTGTCACTGGGAGAAGAGACCGACGCCCACCTGGCTACACTCTTCTTTCAGGTAGTTGTAGAGAGGAATAAGGTCACCTCTGAGCCTCCTTTTCTCCGAGCTAAAAAATCCCAGCTCCTTGAGTACTGATAATAAATGATGGAGAGCGGCTTAGTAAGCTCTTCTGCCAGCTCCCTCAGCTCCAGCTTCCCTGGATGAATCCTATCCAGTCCCATAAACTTGTGAGTGTCCAAATGCGCTTCGGGAACTGCTTAGGACCCTAAACTCACTCACAGCAAGGGTAACAAAGACCTGGCCATTCAGCATGCTGCGTGTTCTGATCACTTTGTGGTCAGAAATAGAACTGGCTATGGTGCAAACTCGGTGGACAGCCAAGGTCGCCAGAATGGTCAATGGAAAATGAGTGGACATGGAACCAGAACACTTCCATGGGCAAAAATCATGGACTTGGCTCAGCTCACCCAAAAGTGCCTTGTAATGGTCATCACATCATTGCTCAGGGCCACTAATTGTATTAGCTTTCTATTTAGGTATCTCCTAAAATGTTTGCATTGTCATTTTTCCATACAAATCACATGATGGGCTGCTGGTCTTCCTGGTACCTGTATCTCAGTGAAGCTGGTGCTGTGTAAAGGCAGAATAAACACTGGTGTCTGCCCTGTCTAACTTAAAAGATACCACTATTTATTGCTAAGCTTTCCTTTCATCTTCAGCTCCTGAAGGTGTATTTAATTTTTCCTTGACAGTGTTACCTGCTCTGTGGAAGATGTTTCTGTGTTTAGGTAGGTGGTGTGAAGATCCTTACAATTGTGATACTCAGCTCTGTCAGTTTCCTTTCAAAATACATCCAATAAAATCAACTTTTAGTCCTTTCTTTGTTTTTTTTTTTCCCTCTCCCCAAAAGTAAATGCATTTAAGATTTTGTGTTCTACATCAAGGATAAATGTTTTGAAGCCACTAATGAACTGTGGGGTTGTTCTTCCTTAAATGTTTGATTACAGTTTTCCAAATTTGTATGTAAGTGTTAGAGACTCATAATCAGGACAGAATGTTTTTTTCCTCTCATACTGCAAAGCCCATGATGTGTGACCTGGGCCAAATCTGACATTGCTGACTTTTTCTAACATAGCTTTGAATTTCAAGTACAGGTATTCTTCTTTGAACTTGATACACCTTGAATTTTCCTCATGATTACAGGTCCAAAAGCCTAGCATTTCTCAATTTCAGGCACAACCTTTACTGGTTTGCACTTCTAGCAGACCTGCTTAAAGGAGGTATTTAATTGTGTTTTAGCCTCTCAGTGGCAATTTCCTTCTCTGCTACACAGGGCTGTGAGGTGAAATTCATTCACATTTGTAGAAGATTTTAAAAGCACCCTCCCAAAAGTCTTGTAGGAAATGCTCTTGTTGATCTATATCCTTATTTACCCCGAATCAAGCAAAACTCATGTCTTACAAGTACGTAACTTGTTAGAGACGGTATTTTGAATGCGTAAAGCCAAACTAAAGGCTAAATTTTGCTCTGAGTTATAGGAACAAGGTTTTCTGTGAATAAGAGGAGAATTTAGCTCTGTAATGCTAGCATTTGTTTTGTCAAATAGCACTTTTTTTTTATACTGAAACCCTACGCACACAACGATTTTAGTCCTGTCGTTTGAAAAGCCCAGAAAAATCATTGCAGAAATGTAATGTAATGAATATCAGTTGAAAATTTACTGTAGTAATCTTGTTAGCACTAAAGTACTGAATCTAGAGAGGGCTCCCTAGAGAACTCATTTAGTAAGTTGCTTCAGATTTATTGTTTGACCAACAAATCCCCATGGCAAAGCTCTCTCTAGCATTTTGTTATTAATGGTAAAATGAAGGTTTTTCCTTGCATTTTTATCCTTGGGTAAAATTCTCATATTTTTTCCTTTAGTTCAAAATACTAATGCTTTTTTTTTTATGCTACTGTCTAGAAGCTACAAGAGGAGGGGAAAAAAAGTGTGCTTCTCCTGAATTTTCTTTGCCTTTAAATTATTATCCTTTTAAAAGCATAAAAGCCTTTTCTATATTTGCTTAGTTGAAGACAACTAACAGTAATGAAAGAGACCCATTAGATGCAGCTCACCCATTTAAATGCCAAGGAAAAATAGTCTCCTGAAGCGTGTTTTCTATTGTCTCTATGCAGGTCAATACCAGGCTTAGCAGCTGTGCTTTATTTGAGAGATTCCTTCTCACCCAATCTCACTTACAGAAAGCTTTTGCTGTTAAATATCTGAGATTAAATAACTTAGATTTTATTTTGCCTGCTTTCTTTATGCTGAATGTATGATGGTTAAATAGGCCAGCCTTTTTAATAAAATCACACTGGAACTTCCGAGAAAGCATCAGCATTTTTCAGTTTTACCTGAGGACAGCAAAAGAGGCATCTCTGCGTTCAAAGATGGATTGTATGCTCTAGGATTAAATACAGACACCAACAGTATTCAGTGCTCACCAGAGAGGGACGTAGAGAAGTAGTAACCTCAGTGATTTCTTTTTCTCATCATCTCTCTAAGATACGTATCATAATCCATGTATTGTATCTACAAGAGTGCAATTTGCTGTATGTGTCTGTCTCTAGAAACCTGTACCTCCAGATGACCCCTTCCTTTTTTCTTTTCTCTTTTTTCTTCTCTTGTCTTCCTTTAAACTACTTAGGATTCATCTGGCTGCTCAGGTGAGCTAAAACATAAAAACCTCCATTTTCTGAATACGTCACATAAACTTCTTTCTATTCTATTGGTGGTGTTTCTGTTTCCTCACATAGGTGATATAACTTATTTTCTTAGCATGTTTTTAACTATTTCTTCTTTGCAATGTATTATTACTCATAAAAGTGTGGTCTTGGGGGAGCAAAGTCACAAACCTCACAGGATGGGCTTTCAATGTGTCTCAATGTTACACACTTCTTTTCTGTCCCTTTATAAATGTGCGCAAGTGCATTTTGCCACATATGTCCTGTCATAATAAATATGAGGTATGTGTGTGCTAGATAAAATATTGTGCCCTTATTATGAAACACAAAATCATACAGTAAGTGTTCAGACCACTGGATCCTGATATTTTGGTTGCAGAATGATTGGCTGTTGTAATCTATACTTATGTGCTATGTGTTTCACATAATTGCAGGTTCTCTGAAATGTTGATACAAGCCTGAATAGAAAGTGTTTTGTGTAACTTTGTGGTGAAAAGGAGGAACCACACTGACATAATCAGAGCTGATTTTGATACATTGAGATGACAACTGTATCATTTGCATCTCCACATTTTTCAAGATTGCACAATATTCTGCAGTATGACCAGTACAATCGTATTTTCTGGTTTTGTTCTGTAATGATAATTCTTGCATCTCTGCAATAATTTCTGTAGTCTTTGTGTTGGGTGTTTAACAGTTTTTCCTGTAAATTTTCTGAATTATGCTTTCGGTAATGTCACAGAACTGAACTCAGTATTAAGGAGTTCAATATTTGCCATCCTTTACCATGACAAGGCAGCTGTTCTCTCTTTAATAGAACTTGTTTATCCAGGAAGCAGATGTGTCATGTACTTTATTATTCAGAATTTGATTTCCATGACAAATGGGTTTGCATTATCACTACTGGGAACTTTAATACATATTTAGCAGAAAGATTGCTTGATGATTTGTTCACCTTCCTCTTGAAAATCAGTTCAATAAATCCTACAGGACTTACTTGTGATGATGTTAGCATAGTTTTTGTATTGATGATGACAAACATGTGAGAGAGGGG